AGGACGCGCGAGATGTCGTCGGTGTCTCTTGTCCAGTAGTGAGGCCTCATCCAGGCCCATGATGGGCTGTCCTGGTTTCAGTAAGACGTGGCAAGGTGTCCTGGATTCGTCCAAAGGCCATGCCTTGACCCACGCGCGTGCCACTCAGAAGAAAGGTAGAGAGTCCACGATGTATTTTTGGCACAACGTGCGGGGCTTATACAGAGCGCCGATGTTTCCTCCTAGGACGCGGCTGCCTGTTACATCAGATCTCGGGAGCCCCGACCACGTTCAGGATAATATCTGAAGGTCTTCGCCCCTTATCATCGAGGTGTGTGTGTGTGTGTGTGTGTGTGTGTGTGTGCGGCTCAGCGTTTCCAGCCGCCGAGGCGCGGCCTATCTGCAGTGTGCAGCTGCGCTTCCTCTGCCCCCCGAGCTTCGCCAGCCCCCGACAGGTCTGGGTGCGCTCCCGCAGACGGCAGCTCTGCTGGCACAGGTGCGAGCGAGAGAGCTGGCGGCCAGACAGGCCGCCGCCGGCAGCAGCAGGTCTGACGTGTCTCTTGAGGGGTAGCCCCGCCCGGGCGGAGCCAGGCAGGACTTCACTTTTTTGCCGACCCCTCGCTCCTCTCGTGCCGTCAGTGGTGTTGTATCCATGGGTGGTGATGCTCAGCCAGCTGATTGTTCGGACTGGCCGCGCTGGCTTCGGTCAAGCTTGCGGCGAGAAAAGGCACGATGCAGGCTGCGCATCTATCCCCCAGGCCCTGGGCAGGACGCCTGGTGGCCCTTTTACTCCCCGCCCTTTGGGGGCGCCAGCGGCAGCGGCTTACTTGCTCCCTGCCGAGTCCGACGATCGATCTGCGTTGGACATCGTTCTGTTTTCAGGGAGGGCACTCAATGCGCGCGTCCTCCAAGCCCCGTGGGCGCCAGCGGCAGCGGTCATCCGTGTGCTGCCGCGTCCGACGAACAGCGTCGGACATCGTTTTATTTCAGGGAGGGCCTGCGCCTTCCATTGTGGGCAAAACTGTTGCCCCCTCGGTCCTACCCTATGGCTCGCGGAGGGAAAAATCCTCCTCCTCCTCCCTTCCTCCTCCCTCCTCCTCCCCCGCCCTCCCTCCCTGTCTCCCCCGCTCCCTCCCGCCCTCCCCCTCCCCTTCCTCCCTGTCCTGCCCCTCCTCCCTCTCCCTCTCCCCCCCCTCCCCTCCTGCCCCCCCCGTCCGCCAGTTGCCGTTTTGGCGCGGCCCGAGCGCCCCCCCCCCCCCCGAGCCCTGGGCCGGCGCCTGGCCATAGGGGAACAAAAAGCGGCATAAACATAACATCTCGGAGGTCCGCGCGGATTTCTCGGATCGGCGCTGGGGCCCCCCCGGCGGCGCCTCCGGCGCCGCCCCTGGCGCGCTCCGGAGAGGATGATGAGGAGGAGGAGGAGGTGGAGGAGGAGGAGGAGGAGGAGCAGGAGGAGAGGGGAGGAGGGAGTGGGGAGGAGGGGGAGGGAAAGGGGGGGGTCCAGCGCCGATCCGAGAAGCCCGCGCGGACCTCCGAGTTTGGATGTTCGTGCCGCTTTTGGTTCCCCCCCTGGCCAGCCGGCGCGCCGACCCGCGCGCGCGCGCCCTCCGCCCCGCGGGGGGGGGGGCGGGCGGCCGGGGCGCGCCATGGACGTCCGCGCGCAGGAGGCCGTCAACGGCACGCGGATGTCCTGGAGCGCGGGCCGGCGCCGGGGCGGGGGAGGAGAGGGCGGGGGGGATGCTGGGGGAGGAGGGAGGGGGAGGGAGGAGGAGGGAGGAGGGGGGGAGGGAGGAGGAGGGAGGAGGAGGACGGGGGGGGGAGGAGGAGGGAGGCGGGATGGGGGAGGGAGGAGGAGGGAGGAGGAGGGGGAGTTGGATGGGGGAGGGGGGAGGAGGTGGAGGGGGACGGGGAGGAGGGGGACGGGGGGGGGGGGACGAGGAGGAGGAATAGAAGGAGGGGGAGGGGGAGGAGGGGGAGGAGGTGGGGTGAGGGTGAGGGTGAGGGGGACAAGCTAGGTACGCGAGCGTCACACCTGACGTCCTACCCTCCGTCCCAGCCCTTACCAAGGCGTAGATCTCCTATTCATTCGCACAGTCGGATGTCGAGCAGGGATGGAAAAGCACGGCGTAGAAGAGCATGGCAGACCAGAGCATGCCACAGCATGGCGTGGCATTGCGTAGTGGAGCATTGCCTCACACAGCATTGCAACGCAAAGCATGACATCGCACAGCGGTGCACAACACAGCATCACATTGCATACCGTGGCATGGCACCAGATGATTTGGAGGGTAAGTGGCCTGTCTGCGAGAGGACAGGGCCTGTCCAGAATGCCGTCTCCATGTCCTCCGCACCCGTGCCTGTCCGTTGTGGGCGCTTTCGCATGCCAAATGCCGTCCGGAGGCGTGGGATCGAGGCCAGCGCTGCAGCGGGAGCACGATTTTGAATGACCGAAGTGCGGGAATAAGGGCGGCGCTGCAGCGGGATTACCAGTTTGGAAGAACCAGAAACGACCATATTGAAAAAACACGTCAGACCAACCAACTTCTGAAATCCTGTGTGTGAAAACAATACGCGGGGAGGACGGGGCACCCTCTGGACAGAGTCAGGGGGAAGAGGAGAGTAGTGTTTATATTGTGTATTTGTGGAGAGACGGGGGAGGAGGAAGGGGGGATGGGGGGAGAAGGAGGAGGAGAAGGACGAGGAGGAGGCGGATGATGATGATGATGATGATGATGATGATGATGATGATGATGATGATGATGATGATGATGATGATGATGATGATGATGATGATGATGATGATGATGATGATGATGATGATGATGATGATGATGCTGATGATGATGATGATGATGATGCTGATGATGATGATGATGATGATGATGATGGTGATGATGATGATGATGATGATGATGATGCTGATGATGATGCTGCTGATGCTGGTGCTGATGCTGATGCTGATGATGGTGATGCTGATGGTGCTGATTATGATGATGCTGGCGATGATGTTGTTGATGATGATGGTGCTGCTGCTGCTGACGATGATGGTGGTGCTGATGATGCTGGTGCTGACTATGATGATGGTGATGATGATGCTGATGATGCTGATGATGCTGATGATGACGACGATGATGATGCCGATGATGCTGATGATGATGAGGCTAATGCTCGTAAATATGATTGTGATGGTGGTGCTGATGCTGATGCTGTTGCTGATGATGATGCTGATGGTGATGGTGGTGGTGCTGATTATGATGATGCTGGCGATGATGTGGTTGATGATGATGATGATTGTGCTGCTGCTGACGATGATGGTGGTGCTCATTATGATGATGCCGATTATGATGATGATGACGGTGATGCTGCTGCTGCTGATGATGATGATGATGATGATGCTGATGCTGATGCTGATGATGATCACGACGACGACGACGACGACGACGACGACGATGATGATGATGATGATGATGATGATGATGATGATGATGATGATGAGGCTGATGCTGGTAATGCTGATAATGATGATGCTGCTGATGATGATGATGATGTTGATGTTGATGTTGATGATGATGATGATGATGCTGATAATGATGATGATGATGATGATGATGATGATGATGAGGATGATGATGATGATGAGGATGATGATGATGATGATGATGATGATGATGATGATGATGATGATGATGATGATGATGTGATGATGATGATGATGCTGATGATGATGATGATGAGGATGAGGATGAGGTCCTCATCCTCATCCTCATCCTCATCATCATCATGAGGATGAGGATGAGATGATGATGATGATGATGATGATGATGATGATGATGATGATGATGATGATGATGATGATGATGATGATGATGATGATGATGATGATGAGATGATGATGATGATGATGATGATCAGGAGGAGGAGGAGGAGGAGGGAGGAGGAGGAGGAGGAGGAGGAGGAGGAGGAGGGCGGAGGAGGAGGAGGAGGAGGAGGAGGAGGAGGAGGAGGAGGAGGAGGAGGAGGAGGAGGAGGGAGGAGGAGGAGAGGGAGGACCTCCTCTTGTCGAAAGCCATACGTGGAGGTGGCTCGAGGTCTTCGGCCTTAGAGGCGCCGTGGACGTGCGCGCGCAGGAGGCCGTCAATGGCACGCGGGCCAGCGCCTGGGCCACAGGCCCAAGAGGCCCTCAGGATCGGGGATCAATAGTCAGATCGATAGTAAGATCGATAGCGAGATCGGTAATGAGATCGGTAGTGACGTCAAGAGTGAGGTCGATAGTGATATCGATAGTGATATCGATAGTGAGACCGATGGTGAGATCGATCGTGAGATGGATAGTGAGTTCGGCAGTAAGATTGATGGTGAGATCGATCGTGAGGTCGACTGTGAGATCGAACCTGAGCACATGTGGCAGACTTCCCAAGCGATATGCTGCACGAGCCAGATCAAACCACGCCATTTTTCAACACGGTGTAGGCGAAACCCATTCCAACTCTTAACACAACGAACATATTGTGAAGACGTTTCAAGCGAATCCGCAACCAAGCCAGACATCGTGAGGACCTCTCAGTCAAAACCGCGCCCAAACGAGGCCAAACCAGGGAAATCGTGAGCACGTTTCAGGCAGAACCGCACCTGGTCAAACCAAACCATGAAAATTGTGCGGACGCATTTATTTTCTGATTGTTCTCCGGGCAACGGTGTCGCGTCAGGAGACATCTCCCCGAGGCTGTAAAAGGACAGTTGATGCAGGAGGAGGAGGAACAGGAGGAGGAGGAGGAGGACGAGGAGGAGGAGGAGGAGAAGTAGGAGGAGGAGGAGAGGAGGAGGGCGGCGACGACGGCGACGACGACGGGGACCTCGTCCCCCTGGCGGAGGAACGTGTGGCCGAGCACGAGGCTGGACGCCACCCGGATCGTCGTGCCGCTGGGGTGCCTCTACACGCCGTTGAAGGCGATAGAGAACCTCTCCCTCGTGGAGTATGAGCCGATCATATGCAGGTCGACGGGGAGGAGGAAGCTGGGAGGAGCACTGCGGGATATTGCGGCAAGAGCGGTCGGCGTGGGCTCGAGAGAGCCGGCGCAGACCATGAAAGAGGGTGCCGGTTTTCTGATGCCGTGCTTGGCGCGGCCTCTCGCGGGCAGACGCTCAGGGAGCCGTCGCTTGGGCAGAAGTTCACCATGGTCAACCGAGACGTGCACGTCGCATGCGCTCGAAATGATGATGATGATGATGATGATGATGATGATGATGATGATGATGATGATGATGATGATGATGATGATGATGATGATGAGGATGAGGATGAGGATGAGGATGAGGATGAGGATGATGATGATGATGGTGATGATGATGATTGTGATGCTGATGATGCTGATGATGCTGGTGATGGTGATGCTGATGATGACAGGGAGGAGGAGGAAGAGGATGAGGTGAATGATGATGATGACGCTGATGATGATGATGATGATGATGATGATGATGATGATGATGATGATGGTGATGGTGGTGACGGTGGTGATGATGGTGGTGGTGTTGATGATGATGTTGATGATCATGCTGATGATGACGACGATGACGAAAACGACGATGACGACGATGACGACGCTGCGGGGACGAAGGACGGATGATGATGACCATGATGATGATGATGATGATGATGATGATGATGATGATGATGATGATGATGATGATGATGATGATGATGATGATGATGATGGTGGTGATGCTGATGGTGATTTTGATCATGTTGATGATTATCATTGATCATGGTGATAACAACAATCAGGACAATGATGATGCTGATGATGATGATTGGTATGATGATGATACTGATGATGCTGATGATGCTGATGATGATGACGATGACGATGACGATGTCGATGATGATTATGCCGATGCCGATGCCGATGCCGATGATGATGATGAGGATGATGATGATGATGATGATGATGAGGATGGTGATGATGATGGTTATGCTGATGCTGCTGCTTATGATGATGATCATGATGCATATGATGATGATGATGATGATGATGATGATGATGATGATGATGATGATGATGATGTTGATGATTATAAGGCATATGATCATGATGATGCTGATGATGCATATCATGATGATGACGATGATGTTGATGATGATGCTGATGATAATGGATAGTGTACGATGGATGATGATGATGACGAGGATACGGATGATTATGATTGTGATAATGATGAGGATGATGGGCAGGATGATGATGATGATGATGATGCTGATGCTCATGATGATGAGGATGAGGATGCTGGTGATGGTGATGATGCTGGTGATACTGCTGCTGCTGGTGATTATGATGCTCATGTTGATGATGATGATGGTCATTCTGGTGATGGTGATGATGATGATGCTGATGATGATGATGATCATCATGCCGATGCTGATGATGATGCTGATGCTGCTGCTGATGATGATGCTGCTGCTTATACTAATGATGTTGTTGATGATGGTGATTATCATGATGCTGCTGATGATGATGATGATAATGGTTCTGATGATGATGATGAAGCTGCTGCTGATGATGATGCTGCTGATGATGATGATGATTATGTTGTTGTTGATGATGATGATGATGATGATGATGATGATTATTAGGATGAGGATGACGTTGTTGATGACGCTGCTGATGCCAAGGACGATGTGGATCATCATCATGATGAGGATGTTGCTGCTGATGCTGATGCTGCTCCTGATGATGATGATGATGATGAGGAGGAGGAGGAGGAGGAGGATGAGGAGAAGGAGGAAGAGGAGGAGGAGGAGGAGAAGCAGGAGGAGCAGGAGGACCAGGAGGAGGAAGAGGAGAAGCTGAGGATGATAATGGATGGGGCGTAGGATGAAGGAGGCGTTTGGCGAGGTTACGCGAGGATCCATGACCCATGATAGACTTTCGGGTCGTGAATCCAGAATGGTCGAGTATCAAGGATTGAAGAGCATGGAGGATGATCGCGGATCGAGGAGGATTGATGATGGGTATGGATCGAGCAGGAGCAGGAGGAGGAGGGGGAGGAGGAGGAGGAGGAGGAGGTGGAGGAGGAGGAAGAGGAGGAGGAGGAGGATCGAAGGTCGAGGATGGAGGAAGACGTGGAGCCGCGACCCCCCTCCTCTTCCCTCCGCCGACATGGGTTGGGGAGCTACCACGTGGCGTGGCCGAGGTTCGCGACGTGGCGTGGCCCTGGCCGACCGGGGTCAGCGCTGACCTGGGCCAGCGCGTCTCCGATCGAGGACGACGGTTCTGCTCTTGGTTGCTTTGGCTCGTCGAGGGTTGTCTCGGCTCCTCGGCGACGCCGGCGCAAAGTTTTCGTTGCCTGTCATCAGGCTCGCCTCGAGCGGACGGGAGCACGCTTGGATGGTTCCTCGAGTGGAAGCCTGAAGCGAAGCAGCTATGCGAAAAACAAAAGATGCTTTTGGTTGCTTTGGCTTCCCGTGGGGGGTCTCTCGTTACTACCGCCGGGTTCCTTTGAAAATCAGGCTCGGCGCGCGTTACAGGACGGATCTTGGGGTCGATGGTTGAGCCCTGGACTCAAGATCCAGGGCTCCAGGCTTCAACTTTTTTGGTCCCTTCTGGTCTGTCGAACACCTTTGGGGAACTCGGGAGACGAGCCGGTCTGACTTTCCTATCCAGCTACTCCTCTCCCCCTCCCTCCAACTGCTCTTCTTCTTCTTCTTCTCCTCCTCCTCCTCCTCCTCCTCTCCGCACCACCCTCGGAGCAGGAGGGGGAGGATGAGGACTGGGATGATAAGGGACGAGGTTGGGAGAGGATGATGATGATGAGGTATGAGAGAGTCAGGTGGCTGGGCAGTGTTAGTCCTTATCTCTCTGTTTGGCTCAAGTTCGCACGCCTCTGTTAAGAGGCAAGTGTATCTGACCTTGTTTCACAGTCGCATTGTTCCGAGCGTTCCTGTTACAAATGCTCCTGGTATCTTTGCATGCTCGCGTTGGGCGCTTACATCGGCCTCAAGAGTAAACGGTTCCAGATCTCATCTTAACGCGCGATCAGATCGTGTGACATGGTTTGGGCTCAGCCCAGATAGGTTCTTCGAGTTATGTCTAGCTGCGTACGCCAGGGGAGACTACAACTATGCGTAGGTCGCGTCACACGCAAATCGTGACAGCACTTAGGAACTCACCAACGCCAAGGTTAACGATAAAGTGAGCCAGGCAAATTTGGAAGAAGCGTGCACGTCAGTCCAGATGGCGACTAACATGACTTCTGTGCTGCTCAGCATGGTTAACCGCGGGATGTTCGCCGATGGCGAGACATAGGCGGTTATGGATACGACCGTGGACTTGATGTAGACAATACTTGTTATAACAGTGCCAGTGAAGTTATATACATCATTGCCGAATCTGGATCAGCAGGATGGAAAAGAGAGCACACGCCGAACCCATCAAACGAGCACAAAGCCATTCATTACTCAAATGTTTTCTTTGGAGACCAATTGAAGTTCGGATTATGGAGTGAGCGTTACCAGACGCGTCGGCACAGGTAAGTGCTGGAACACGAACGGTGCTTGGATATCCCTGGACGGCGCCCTGCAATAATCATCTGAGGACGACATGGCCCCCGATTGTTGAATGGTAGACTGACGCAGGCTGGATATGACAAGGCCACTGGCACATTCCAGAAGGAATGCGGCGAGACGGGCGACACAGAGTTTGCAGCCAAACACCGCATCGGTTAGACGAGGATTTGTGGCGCATCCGCAGCGACAAGCTGAAGAGCATAGTACTCAGAGGCGAACTGAAGGGACGGGGAGGAGGCGAAGGGTTCGTGGCGTTGCAATAGATACGAGAGAGCGCGCCCGTGGGGAAGGGAAGATTGAAAGGGATGCCCCCAGCTCGAGCTATCCGCCCCCCTCAAGGTGGGGAAGGTGCTTTCGACCCCCCCTCTTGAAAGCTTGGCCCCCCCTGGTCAAGAAGCACAAGGGGGGCTTCCGAGGTTGTCTCCGTGCCCACTCCCTTTGAAAAACCAGCATGGGCTTGGGCCCTTTGCCAGAGCGGAGAGCTTCGGAAACGACCCCGCGCCCGCTCTGAAAGCTGTCCTCTTGCCAAGGGGGCTGGGGGGGGGGTCCGAAACCCACCCGCCTCCCTCTCCCTTTTTGCAGCCATGGGTCAGCCTGGGCCCCCATTTCCAAAGGGGGGGGCGTCAGCGAGCTGCTCACAGCCGCCCTGCTGGAAGCCAGGGCCCCCCTTTTCCAAAGGGGTGCCTGGGCTTCGGAAGCTCCCCTCCCCCCCGCCTCGAGACTCGGGCCCCCCCCGGCCGATGTGGGGGGGCTGCCGCACCTATCCTCCCGAAAGAGTACGGGTGTGGTGTCGGCTTGGTTTTGGCTGTGGGATCGGTTTTGCTTCCAGTTTCGGTCTCGGTCTTTGTTTCGGTCCTGGTCTCGGTTTTGGTTAATGTTTCGGTTCCTTCTTTCTTTTCAAGGCCTGGGAGATTCCTTGGGTCACCGTTCCAGTTCGTGTGTTAGTTCCAGCTTCTTCCCTCTTGTGGGCTCGGAAAACGCCGTCCAGCTGTTGTTTCGGTTCCAGTTTTCTTCTTCGTTCCGCCTTTTGACAAGATCAACCGAGTCACGGTTCTGGTTCTGGTCTTGGTTTTAGATCTCTTTCTTTTCAATTGCTGCCCCGAAGAAGATCCCCCAGCGCTTCTGGTTCGGGTTTTTGTTCTATTGTCTTTCTTTTGTCGTCTGCTATGGGGCTCCCCAGGTCACGGTTACCGTTCCAGCTTTTGCTCCAGTTCTGGTATTCTTCTTCATCTTCCGGCCTGGAAGCAGACCCTCCCAGGCACGCCTCAGTACTTTTTTTTCCCTCTCTGATCTGGAAGAAGACCTCTGGGTCTTGGTGTTTTTTGATTTGGAAGAAGACCTCCCTTACCAGCCTGAGATTCGTGCAGGCGAGTTGATCGGCATGCTTTGTGCGCGGCTCGGAATGTGATGGTGGGGCAGCCCGACAGCCTCTGGAGCTGAGAAGTGTTGTGCCAGGCGACGGCCATGGCGAGAGCGCGACGGGTAATGCCGCTATGTTGTGCGCCACCGTGGAGTTAGCGGAACACTTCGTTCGGGGGAGCGTAAGACCCGGGTTTGCCAGGACTCGGGTTCGCCATCGTTTTTTGACGACCGCGCCTCGGATTTTGACGAGGAGGAGTTTCGTGGGATGTCTGCAGCGGGAGGCCTCGTCAAAATGCAGGCTCGGCCTCGTCATTTTTTTGACGACCTCGTCGGGGATTTCCGAGTCCCCTGTACCCAGGTCTTACGTCCCCCAGATTCGTTAAAGTGGCCAACGGGCGAGAGGTGTTCTAGCAGCACTATGGTCACATTCGCAGTGCTCTGTCCAGCCGAAGGGACAGGCACTTGTCAGTCTGTATCCGACCAATCTGATCGTCGGTATGCAAGTCTGAGTGACCACGCGTAAAAGCTGAACTGAGAGTCAACGCTTGGCATGGCCACGTGAGGCGATTGGAGGTGGTTCTGTGGTAAACGCTGCCTCCACCGTACTGTCGTGCACTGTAATGCGCGGCTGCAGGTGGATGATTCACCCATGTTCGGGTCACGAGATCGAGGAGCGCAGGAACTAATCTTAAGTCTGGCATGTCCCTCTACAGGAGGAGTATTCAAAAAGAGTCAAACAAATAGTCGGACGTTGTTTTTTGTGTCTGGCATTTTTTGACTGCGTATTTGAAATTTTCGCCCAAAATCCGCCTGTAGGGGGACATGCCCGGCAATTCGCACGTTTTGCAGTATCTCAAGTTACCAGATCGTGCAGACAAGACGGTGTGCGGACGTGGCGGCGACATCGAGGTGAGAACGGCAAGCATGTTGGCGGCGTGGACGTGCATTGTGGCGTGTACGAGTCTGCTGGGGAAAACGCCAGGACCGAAAGCGACGACGCCTGCGCGAGGGCGCAGGGCGCGGTCGAGCAAAGACCCGAGCAAACCACCATGCCAAGGGCGAAGCACAGGCCAGCTGGCTACACGAGGAGTATGCTGTCCCCGTCACAGGACCAGGCACTATCGAACACCCCTACCAACCAACCCACCCGCGTCCCACCCCTCGGACATGCCGTCCAGTTGGCGAGGCAGTGCTGGCCCACGCCGGAAGCTGAGCCGATGGACAGAGCGAGCTTGCCGTTACCCTGCCGGGCCTTCATGAAAGGTGGTGTCCCAACGGGTAACGGTCTAAAGATGTCTGCTTCTTATTCGGGCGAAATCCACCCTACCACCGCTGGACACCAAATTGTCGAATGATTTCTTTACACGCCAGCGCGTACGCACAGCTTAGCGGAGTGTTCCATGTCGAAAACACACAGCTAATGATGAGCTTCAAACATCTCAACTGACTTTTCTTTCGCACTGCACATTGTTGTGGGCGTTCCTCTGAACACGGGCTCGTGCAAGATGTAACACCCCGCAGTCGCTGATAAGAGTGAGGGGGCGGGCGCCGGGTTGGTCGCGGGTGGTTCGGGGTCGCGGGTGGGTCGCGGGTGGGTCGCGGGTGTGTTGCGGGTGGGTTGCGGGTGGGTCGCCGGTGGGTTGCGGGTGGGTCGCGGGTGGGTCGCGGGTAGTCGCGGGCGGGTCGCGGGTGGGTTGCGGGTCGGGTCGCAGGTGTGTCGCGGGTGTGTCGCGGGCGGGTCGCGGGTGGGTCGCGGGCTGGGTCGCGAGTAGGACAACGCTAACAACAACAACGAACAACGCAACAATAGTTTGCCCCGCGGAACCCCTTTTGAATCACGCATCCAGGGACTGTGGATGACCATTCGAGTATCAGCGTGACGACGATTTTGATGGCGGTGGTGGTTGTGATCTTGATGGTTGATGATGGTGATGATGAGGAGGAGGCTGAGGACTATGATGATGCTGATGATGATGCTGATGACGATGTTGATGATGATGCTCATGATGATGATGATTCTGATGATGACGATAATGATGATGCTGATGATGATGCTGATTTGGTTGATGAGGATGAGGATTACGATGTTGATGGTGATGGTGGTAGAGCTGATGATGGTGATGGTGATGATGATGCTGATGCTGCTGATGATGATTATGTTGCTGCAGATGATGATGATGATGTTGATGATGATGATGCTGATAATGATGACGATGATGATGATGCTGCTGATGATGATGATGATGGTGGTGGTGATGGTGATGGTGGTGGTGGTGGATCTGTCGACTATGATGGTGATGATGATGCTGATGCTGATGATGATGATGATTGAATATGATGATGATGATGATGATGATGGTGGTGGTGGTGGTGGTGGATGATGAGGATGATGAAGATGATTATGATGATGATGATAATGATGATGCTGATGATGATGATGCTGATGATGCTGATGATGGTGATGATGATGACGGTGATGGTGATGATGATGATGATGATGATGATGATGATGATGATGATGATGATGATGATGATGATGATGATGATGATGCTGATGCTGATGCTGATGCTGATGCTGCTGATGATGATGATGATGATGATGATGATGATGATCATGGTGACGGCGGTGAGGTTGAGCATGATCAGGAAGATGGGGCGAATGGGGGAGGAGGTGGAGGTGATGAAGAGGTGGTCATATGCATGTACAGATCAGGGCTCTCCGATCCCTCCTCCCTGTCACCATTGTCGACTTGTCCTTCTCCTCCCCCCTTGATCCCGCTCATCGCCCTGCTCCTCTTCCTCTTCCTCCCTTTCCTCCTCCTCCTTCTTCTCTCTCCCTACCCGTCCCTCTCCTCCTCATCGTCTTTTCCTGCTCCTCGCTCTGCTCCCCTCTTTTCCTCGTCCGCCTCCCTCCTTCATCTCCTCTTCTTGCCCTCCCCTTCCTGCGCCGATTCCGGCTCCGAGCAGGAAGAGGAGAGGAGGATAAGTACAGTCAGCGGAGGACCAAAGAATGCGGAGGACGAGGAATTTGATGACCATCGTCACGGTAATCATGACGACGATAGCTATGATGATGACGACGACTACGGCGGTGACGATGCTGATGATGTGGTAATAGGAGGGCAAGGCGGATGACGGCATCAGCAGGTCCCGGGACTGTGGTGCGGTGCTCAACCCGTATTGCTTCGTCGATCCGTAAGGGCTTCGCCCCCTGCCGCCGGCCCCCTCTCTCGGAGAATGGGCCATGGAAGAGCTAAGTCATGAGGCCTTGGCGCTGTCGTGAAGCAGTATCGAAACTTCATGCGAAGCCGAGTCGCAATCAGCAAAACCAACTGATCACAAGAGGGGTTACCACACCTGGCGATTGGTAAGACGTGTATGGTTTAAGGGCTTGGTTACCACACCTTGCGATTAAAGGGCCGAGGGAGTTCTCGCAGTTTGGGTTACCACGCCTTGCGATGGATGTGCGTGATGGGTGGCACCGAATTTCAGAAATGTGGCAAATCCCCTGTGTTTTTGGACCCTGACCCCGCGGATCTGCGTGAGGGGTGGCACCGAATTTCAGAAATGTGGCAAATCCCCTGTGTTTTTGGACCCTGACCCCGCGGATCTGCGTGAGGGGTGGCACCGAATTTCAGAAATGTGGCAAATCCCTTGTGTTTTTGGACCCTGACCCCGCGGATCTGCGTGAGGGGTGGCACCGAATTTCAGAAATGTGGCAAATCCCTTGTGTTTTTGGACCCTGACCCCGCGGATCTGCGTGAGGGGTGGCACCGAATTTCAGAAATGTGGCAAATCCCTTGTGTTTTTGGACCCTGACCCCGCGGATCTGCGTGAGGGGTGGCACCGAATTTCAGAAATGTGGCAAATCCCATGTGTTTTTGGACCCTGACCCCGCGGATCTGCGTGAGGGGTGGCACCGAATTTCAGAAATGTGGCAAATCCCCTGTGTTTTTGGACCCTGACCCCGCGGATCTGCGTGAGGGGTGGCACCGAATTTCAGAAATGTGGCAAATCCCCTGTGTTTTTGGACCCTGACCCCGCGGATCTGCGTGAGGGGTGGCACCGAATTTCAGAAATGTGGCAAATCCCTTGTGTTTTTTGGACCCTGACCCCGCGGATCTGCGTGAGGGGTGTCGATTTCGAGCCCCCCCAGCAATTCAGACAACGCGCCCAGGAGGTGCTAGAATGTCGGTTTGGGCCTCCCCCCCCGCGCGCGGTCAATCAACTAGTTACAGTAACCAGCAAGAAGCAGAACTGTAACACTGGAAACTACAAGCTACAACTGGTACAGGAAACTGCGAACCTCGCGCCTACAGCCTGGTGGCCCCACAAGGGGGCCGGCGGATTTTCACTCGAAGACATGGGGATGCCCGTTCTGTTTGCAACGCAACCCGTTCCCGCCCCACTACGCGGAGCACATCACTGAGACCAATCTCCCAGCGGAGCTGCACCAGATGTGCACCACCATCGAGTACATCATTCCGCAGGCTGTCTGCCAGCCTCCAGTGTTTTTGTTTGTGCTGGACATCGCGTTGATCGAAGAGGAGCTTGAACAGGCGAAGGACTCGTCGTCCTCGTTGTCCCCCTCCCTCGTCCACCTCCTCCCACTTCCTTCTCTCCGTCCCTCCTCTCCCTCTGTATTGGCTCTACTCCTCCATCGCTCCTCGCTTCTCCTCCTGCTCCCCGACCCCCACAGGCACCATGACCAACAGAAGCACGCCGAAAGCTTCTCGAATCAACATCAAGTGTGCTAACCGAACGGAGAGCTTCTGGTGCCCCCCTCCCGAAGCCCTCGTGGCCCCTGAAGAAAGCAGCACGGCCTGCCAGCACAGCATACAACACCCGCAACTTTCACTCTCGTCGTCGTCCTCCGACCTCCTCCCTGGGGGAGGTCCTCCTCCTCCTCCTCCTCCTCCTCCTCCTCCTCCGCCCCCTCCTCCTCCCCCTCCTCCCCCTCCTCCGAGGGCCAAAGTCAGCCCAGGATGGAAGCACGAGGCCGCAAGGCACTTTCTGCGTCGGCGGCGCGGAAGCGGCGATCCGCACCGGCGTGGGGCGAGGCCGCAGCGCGCACGCCCGTCCCGGGTGTCCTCGTCGCAAGTCTCTGCGGGCATTCCCGAGCACCGCGGGACGTGCCTCTTTCTGTGAAGGCGAGCGCCCCGCGGGAAGCATGGCCAGTGAGCAGGAGTGGGGGTCAGAATTCAAGAATTCAGACCTCGGATCTCTCTTCTATCTGAGACGGCTCTGACGAACCCCGTGTGGGGTTTATCCCGTCGGAGCGTATTTCATTTTTGGATTGTTGTGGTATTTTGCCAAACAGTGTCACATCTGCGCGAGCACGACTTGCTCTGTTGTGTTACTGCAGGAACCACGCCGGTAAGAAACCTACATTCTCCCCTCCTCGCCCTCCTGCTCCTCCAGACGTCCTCTGCTCTCGAAGGACTCGCTGCAGCAGTGCCTGGCGGTCATGCCGCAGAACGCCCTGGTCGGCTTCATCACCTTCGGCGCGATTGAGGATGAGGAGAAGGAAGAGTTGGATGAGGAAGATGGCAGATGAGTAGGGCGATGAGGAGAAGGATGAGGCGGATGCGGAGTATAATGACGTAACGATAATGATGGGAAGGATGGTCGATGGTTTTCAAGGGGCTGGAAGGCGAGAACCTCATCTTGGAAAGGAGCTGCCCTCCATGCCTGGAACTGCTGCAGAGTTTTCAGGATGAAAGTTCGCGGCGGCGGAGGAGGAGGAGGAGGAGGAGGAGGAGGAGGAGGAGGAGGAGGAGGGTGGGATCCCAATCTTGTCAAGCAGCCTGCTACCATCTTTGGACCGTGCCACTCGTAGAGACGAGGGTGCGCGGCGCGACGGTGAGAGCCCCCTTCTGAAGACCACCACGCGCCCCATCCGTGCACCTGCTTGAAGATCAATGTGCGCAATGCTAAGGAGGAGGAGGAGGAGGAGGAGGAGGAGGAGGAGGAGGAGGAGGAGGAGGCGGAGGAGGAGGAGGAGGAGGAGATGCAGGCCTGAAGATCAATGTGCGCAGTTTTAAGGTCAGAGCCCCATTCTGACCCCCCCCCTTCCCATCATTGAGACTGCTGCGAACTTCAGGCTCCAGGGTCATGGGTGGTGAGGAGGTCTCAGGCATGACGCCTGGCCCGCCTTACCAACATGCCTGGAGCTGCGACCGGGAGGAGTTGTCTATTAGGCAAAGGGATGCAGGAGCAGGAGCAGGATGAGGAGGACGAGGAGGATGAGCAGGAGCAGGATGAGGAGGACGAGGAGGAGGAGGAGGAGGAGGAGGAGGAGGAGGAGGTGGAGGAGGAGGAGGAGGAGGAGGAAGAGGAGGACGAAATGGAGGAGGAGGAGGAGGAGGAGATGTAGGGTCGTCGTCGTCTTTGGGTGTTGTCGTCCTCGTCCGTCGCTCGTCGTTGCCGTTGTCGTCCCTCGTCCGTCGCTCGTCGGTCGTCGTCCGTCATCCGTCTTGCGTCGTCCGTCGTCCGTCGTCCGTCGTCCGTCGTCCGTCGTCCGTCGTCGTCCTCGTCGTCGTCGTCGTCGTCGTCGTCGTCGTCGTCGTCGTCGTCGTCGTCGTCGTCGCGAGGCGCGGAGGAGGAGGAGGAGGAGGAGGAGGAAGAGGAGGACGAAATGGAGGAGGAGGAGGAGGAGGAGATGTAGGGTCGTCGTCGTCTTTGGGTGTTGTCGTCCTCGTCCGTCGCTCGTCGTTGCCGTTGTCGTCCCTCGTCCGTCGCTCGTCGGTCGTCGTCCGTCATCCGTCATCTGTCGTCCGTCGTCCGTTGTCGGCGTCGGCGGCGTCGGCGGCGTCGTCGTCGTCGTCGTCTTGTCGTGCGTCGTGCGTCGTGCGTCGTGCGTCGTGCGTCGGCCGTCGTCGTCCGTCGTCGTCGTCGTCGTCGTCGTCGTCGTCGTCGTCGTCGTCGTCGTCGTCGTCGTCGTCGTCGCGAGTCGCGAAGGAGGAGGAGGAGGAGGAGGAGGAGGAGGAGGAGGAGGAGGAGAGGAGGAGCAGGAGGGGGGGGAAGGAGGAGGAGGAGGAGGAGGAGGAGGAGGAGGAGGACGAACTGGAGGAGGAGGAGGAGGGGAGGCGGAGGGAGGGAGGACGAAAGGGAGGAGGATGGGAGGAGGAGAGAGAGGACGAAGTGGAGGAGGAGGAAGGAGGAGAAGGCGTAGGAGGCAGGAGGAGCAGGAGGAGGAGGAAGGAGGAAGGGAGGAGGAGGAGGAGGACGAAATGGAGGAGGAGGAGGAGGAGGAGGAGAGGAGGAGGAGGAGGAGGAGGAGGAGGAAGAGGAGGACGAAATGGAGGAGGAGGAGGAGGAGGAGATGTAGGGTCGTCGTCGTCTTTGGGTGTTGTCGTCCTCGTCCGTCGCTCGTCGTTGCCGTTGTCGTCCCTCGTCCGTCGCTCGTCGGTCGTCGTCCGTCATCCGTCATCTGTCGTCCGACGTCTGTTGTCGGCGTCGGCGGCGTCGGCGGCGTCGTCGTCGTCGTCGTCTTGTCGTGCGTCGTGCGTCGTGCGTCGTGCGTCGTGCGTCGTGCGTCGGCCGTCGTCGTCCGTCGTCGTCGTCGTCGTCGTCGTCGTCGTCGTCGTCGTCGTCGTC